ATCTTAACAGTAATTCTTAGCAGTTGTTCTTAACTCTGGCTGTGCTTCAGAATCTCCTGATGATCTTATTAAAAAATGGAAATGTGAGATGGTGCCCGTAGCTCAGTGGGTGGGGCGCTGGCCACATACACCGAGGCTAGCGGGTTCGAACTTGGTCCGGGCCAGCTAATCAACAACTGCAACAAAAAAATAGCTGGGCGTTGTGGTAGGCCCCTGTAGTACCAGCTACTTGGGAGGCTGAGGCAAGAGAATCAGCTAAGCCCAAGAGTTTGAGGTTGCTGTGAGCTGTGATGCAATGGCACTCTACTGAGGGCCACGTAGTAAGAGTCTGTCTCAAAAAAAAAGTGGGGGGAGTGTGGTTTTTTTTTTTTTTTTTTTTTTTTTTTGGTGCAGTTTTTGACTGGGTTTAAACTCTCCACTTCCAGTCTTTGGGGCCGGCGCCCTACTCCTTTTAACCACAGGTGCTTCCCATGTGGGTCCTTTTCCTAGCAGTTCTTTCTGATTCTTTTAAGTCTGGATTGGGCCCTTGGGTCCTAGGTATCTATATTTTTAAGTTTGTGCAGGTGATCTGGTTGCACAGCCAGGATTGGAAACCACCACTCTGAGATTTAAAATGTCACCATAGAATATCTCTGCCAGGAACTTGGCTTTTTGTCTGTTTTCCAACATCTTAAAGTGTATCTTCTTATTGTTTCTACCAGAGAATAGGGTAAGAATTCTGTCCCTGAGTTATTTGCATGTATATCCTGGCAAGTTGTCCACAAAACATTTCAAAAATAGTACTCTGAATTTTATCTTTGGGTCTCAGGCCTGACCGTCCCTTAAATCTTTGGCTGCCTGTTTCCTGGGTCTAGAGATAAGAGTTAGTCTCTCTCACTTGAGACATCTGACTTCATACACTTAGGTAAGTGGAAGGCAGAGGAGGAAGTTGAGTTTTAGCAATTAAAATTGTGAATCATTATGTGGTCAGTTGTAATCTGTTTTAGAAGTGAGCATTAATATGTCCATCAGAGAGCAGTTCTGTAAGCATTGTGAAACTGTTCCCTTGACAGTGTGGTAATAAGTGAAGAAATGAAGACAGCCCTCTTGCTAAGTGTCACTTTACTTTCGTAAGGCCTTGCAGTGTAGAATCTGGCTTTACCTAAATCTATTCAAACCATGAGGGGCCAGTCTTGAAAACATCATTTGAGGTCAGAGTCTTTATATTCCTGTCCTCATAAGAACTCATGTGTTTTCCGGAGGTGGTGTGGAATGGGGTTAAAGTACTCTCTGAGCTAAGCAGGAATATGTGGCTGAGGTTGTTTTCAGAGGTAAAGTGTTAGCTGGGGTTCTGTATTCCCTGAATTTTCTATTTAAAATCTTGTAAACTGATACCGTACCATGGGTTAAGGGCAAGGCAAAATTTGTACATTCTAATTGTTATTACTGGTGCCATTGAGATTAAACTCTCGTCACTATCCCTGACTGGTATTTAAGGATAACTGTTAACGTACCTAGTCTGGCCATGTTTCTTTGACTATCTGTTCTGTTTTACACTGCTACCCTTTCTATTAGCTTGACTCCCAGGTTGTAGTTGGTCAGGTGTGGAGAGGATGACATCCATAAGGTGAATAAACTATTAAGTATGAGGTGGTTGCTTTCAAAATTTGGACACTGGTTTATTAACTCACATTTCCCTTTTTTTGGAGCTTTGCTTCACTTTTAACTTATTTCATTTGCCATAAAAAGAGCTGGTGACCTTATGTGTTTAGAAAAATTTTTTCTAAGTCCTTAGAGAGTTTTTTTAAATTAGTAAGTATACAGAACAGTAATTTTGTCGTCTTAAGTCAGAATCTTAGAGGATGAGATCGGAACACCTGAATCCCTTTCAAAGTTCATATAGATGATTCTTATGAACTGGCAGGAATAAGAACTACTGTAATAGGATAAGGATGAATACGTCCATATCCCAAAGGTCACAGCCTGGTATGTTTCTTTTCTAGACATGTTCCTGTTACATATTTTTAACATAAAGATTATATTTGGGGGCGGTGCCTGTGGCTCAAGGA